AAATTCAGTTTGCATGTTACTATAGCTGTTACAGTGTTTAATCATTACGATTTACTTATTTTTTGCTTTCATTCTAGATAATTATGCTCAGTGATGTAAAATTGAAGCGATGACTGAATGAACGAACCTTGGTTGGCGAAGATGTATCTGGAAGTGTACACATTTGTTGGAAGTGAAAAAAATATTCAATGTAATGACAAAAATTGTAAAATGCCGTGGAATTTCTTTTGCAAATAAAAATATACTAGCAATTTTCTATTAATGGTTTATTCAAGTGGGCAAAATATAATGTACAGAAAGATTGCCCGTAGAGTATCGCTACACTGAAAAGTAAGCAACCGACAGCCTGTATAAAAGGGGGGCTGTGATTGGCTGTTACTTATGCGAGATTTGAACAGGACTTACATAGGCGTCGGATCAGATGTAGGTAGGGCAGAATTAAAAAAAAATCACAAAATCAAAATCAAAGTAAAATAATAAAATAAAAGGGCATTAATAACAAAAGTAATAAAAAATAAAATTAAAATAAGTTTATAGCCACAATAATTAAAGCCTGTACACTACATCAGATTTTAATCAGATTGTTCATTTCCTAATTTACAAAATTTATAGTTGTCCTGGACTGGCAATAGTCACTCACTCTGGCCTAATTTGACATTTTCACCAAACACAAAAACATATATGGATTAATGCATTTCAAAAAAGTAATCAGGGGTTTTACTAGAAAAAAAAACTGCAAGATGGAAGCACTGCAATTCAGCAGCGCCACCAAGTAGCTTTTGAAGTTAAAATTGAGCATTCTATGGCTTCCTTGGGGCCAAAATTACTATCAGACAAGTCACAGTTGAAGACTGTGGCCACATGTGATCCCTGGTCAATCAGAATTTTATGGTTGCCAGAGGATCTGCTCCCCAGGGTAAGGGGGCGCATAACCATGGCATGAGGGCGCTGCGCCCCAGTTCCCTTGTTTAACTCCCTGGTAATGTTTGATGAACTATATACCAGACATCCCAAAGAAAAGGATTAAACAATTTCATGCAATTACAGAAGAAAGCAATGACCTATTTAAATGTGTCAATTAGTATGGTTAGTATGACGATACCGTAGTTAAAATCACTAGAGTCGTGTTTCAATTATCTGACTGCACACATATCGAATAATATATTTTTGTACATTTCTTATGTGAATATAGAATTCACATAAGTCTGATGATAGGGCTGTTACCAAGCAGAATACCATATATTTAGGCCAGGAAAAAAAAATTCCCTGTTTCTCGTTTCATAGAAATTTTAAAATGAGGCGATATTTTTTTTTTTTTTTTGAATACTGAGCTAAAATAGGGGAAATTTGGGACAAGTGCGAGTACAAGCGCATTTTGGAATGCTTTAGAAGGAAAAAAAAACGTTCGAGGCGCATAGTTCAAAATGATGCGCGCGGAAACGAGAAACAGAGATATTCTTTTTCTCAGCCTTACTATATACCTTTAGTTATTTGTATCTACATACTTTACTTACTACTACTCAATTAGAAGTGCATTTCCAATACAAAAGCAGATACAGTATCATTTGAGAGTTTTAGCTGGCTTTCAACTGGCTTAAAATTAGGTAACATGAAAGGTAATAGGAAGGAGAGAGGACACTAATTTACTACAGAAACGGAGCAGTCTATAGTCTACTCGCACTGGAAAACAACTACCGGTAGTATTTGTTTACGGACCTCTTTCTTCTCCTACTAACTTCCATGAAGTTAATTTAGCTTGTTTAGAAAACCATTATACTAATATTTGCTCTGTTACATGCATTAGTTTATGCGTTTGCTCAAATAATAATAATAACATTATTGCCTCCTTGTAAATAATTTTACATTTGGTAAAATATAAATATGATATTTTATGAAATGTGATAGAATTCATGTAAATAAATGAATAATATTAGTTCAAGAGCCTCATTGTTGTGCATATATATTTAGCTTTAATTAAAAATAATGTTAGTATAACTACAAATGTACTTGAAAGTAAATATGTGAATAGATTTTTACTGTCTTTCATCTTTGATGGAATTTTTATTTTATTAAAGAATACTTGTCATTCAGTATCATATTTCTGACAATAGAAAGTGTTCCTCATCTTTGATCAAATTGTCATTACATCTTTGGCATATTTACTAGAGTTTTTCATTGTGTGTGTCTACCTTTTTCTATTCCCAGATTGTGGCTTGGTAATTCTAAATTTGTATACCATTTCGTTTTCCCACAGTCTAGATTATTCAAATATATCTCTAACTTGTAGTCTGTTTTACATTTTGCATAAGTTCTCAGTTTACACTTTTCGTTTGAAATATGTTATTGATTTGACTTTTTTGTTTTCTACTAAGAGATTTTTTTTGCAAAATTGATTGTATTGCATTTAAAAAAATTTAACCATTTATATTTTATGTTGTTGTATTCTAGGTATCCGTAAGCCTGTTTTGTTAGATTATCATGTGAGAGTTCCTTTATGTGCAGCTAGTATTTAATGATATTGACCTACCTCTGCTCTAGATGCCATGTTACAAGACTTACAAGGATTTAGCTTAGAATGTACTTTCGACTGAGTTCAGTGGTGGTGTTCACGTTAGGTGTTCACGTGTGTGAACAGTCAGGGTAGAATCGGCACGTGCCAAAAAAAACTTTATCCCGATAGATGCTCAGGACTGAAACTCGGCATGTGCCGAGATTTGCTGCCTGGACACTCGGACCGAAATCACGCCCTCTGTGGTAAATTTAAGAGCATATACTTATTAATAGGATACCCAGGATACGATTATGCAATAAAGATTATTATTATTACTAGTATGACATGACGATGAAGGGTAGTGCATCTAGATATGGTTGAATGCTGTATTAATGAATGAATGAATGAATGAATGAAATCAATGCAAACCATCGTCAGAGACGCATATTTATGGGCAACCGGTTTTCTTGAAATTCTACATTGACGTAAAAAAATAATTGTTTTTCAAATCTTCTTCGCCGTTCATGTGCACGATGAATCGTTTAAATGCCATAATAGTAAATGAATATAATTTCAATAACACAATTATTGTTATCATATGCATATTGTTTAGGTCAAATAACTGATCGAAGAATGAGGGTGTGATTTCGGCACAAGCCGAGTGGGTCCCAAGTGGGTCCCAACTAACATGACCGCAACTGCTGTAATCTTTTTGCAAGCACAAATAATTAAAAATTCTGTGAGATCCTGTAATGCGAAGGTAGCAAATGCTTGATAAGAGCATAATGGAAAGAAGTTACATAATTGGTACATACTTTGGTTTTTTATCTTAATTATTTAACTGGGTAACAGAAAATCGTATTTAGAGGGTTTATATCAGGGCATACGTGCGAAATTTATATATTTTTTTTTTAATTTGTTGGGAGAATTGAACGTCAAATCCATGGTGCTAAAAAAAGAAGGAGACTGGACTGGTTTTAATCCTACTTGAGTCTTTTGTTTTAAGCTGATTATTCTTTTGTGTATACGCGCCTTTCATGTCAATGACTTCTGCTGGCTGCCGTCACACTGATTATTCAGCCGTCACCGCCTTCCTGAGGTGTAACGATCATTTTTGTTCTGCGCAGTTGACGTCAAAGGTCGGTGAACATGCGCGTAGTGGTAATTATGGAAGAGTGTTGTCAGTTCTACAGGTCTGCGTTTGAGTCATGGAAATC